AAAAACAAACAAAACACCACTCAGTGGCCATCAATGAATAAATGGATCAACAAAATGTGGTACATTTAGACAATGGAATGTTATTTAGCCATAAAAAAGGATGAAGTACCAACACATTTCAACATGAACTTTGAACAAATTATGCCAACCAAAAGAAAAGTCACAAAAGGCCAGATATTGTATGATTCAATTTGTACAAAATGTTCAGAACAAGCAAATTCAGAGATAAGATTCTGCTTTTTGTTGCCAGGTACTGGGAGAAAGGGGTATGAGGGAGTACTTGCTAATGGGCAGGGGATTTGTTCTGGGAGATGAAACTACATAATGATGGTGGCTGCAAAACTTTGTAAATGTGAAAACTACATAATAGTAGTTTAACAGGTAAATGTTGTAGCATATAGATTATATAGCTTGATTTTTTAAAAAAACTGATCAAGGTTATGTCATATCAAAAATAAGATTGGACTAAAATTAAACTTTAAGAAAATTATGACTACAGTAATGAGACTGGTTTCTGACATGACTTAAAGTCTGCTAAAATTACAAAGAGGACTTTTTGAAAGGCCAAAATTAATGCACATACACTCTTCACTTTTCATATGAAAGACTACTTTTATGAGTTCAATCCTGGTACCAAAAAATGGGAAAGATTACTTTTATGAAATTACTTTCCAATACAGAAATTCCATCAGGTATAATAAAATCATGACTATAAATATCAAATTTACCTAATCCATTCACTTCCTACATAAAATTTAGATCAGTTCATTGTTCACATAATCTTTATACCTTAAGATTATTTTTAAGACTGGCAAGACTTCCAGAAAAATCAAAATCCTGGCCACAGTCAGAATCACAAAGGCTAGAATATAAAATTCTTTTTTTTTTTTTGGTACCGGGGATTGAACCCAGGACCTTGCGCTTGTGAGTCAGGTGGCAGAACCACTGAGCTAAATCCCCAGCCTGAAATTATTTCATTTTCATGTTTATTTTCCAAATTACACCAAGCTTACACAAACATCCCACATTTTTATAAGAATTGCTTTTTAACTCAATATTCAGAGGTCAGAATTTACATGGCATAGACCTTGATGCCATTTAAAATTAAGTGGTTTCTATAGACTGTGGTTTAGCAAGTAGAGGAGTTTTTGTCACATTTCACTTATGTATGAGTCAGAGTGAATAAAGTTTTATACACACATACACACACACACACACACACACACACACACACACACACGCATACCTACCCAAGGTAAAGCATTAGAAAGACAAACAGTACCAGGAGACAGACTGGTTCCGAATTCATGTTATCTTATCAAGAAAATTTGACCAGTGGTATATGAAAAAGCTGCCAATAACTAGTGGAGTAACTCTAAAATGACAGGCCTGTTTTCTCATCAGCAACATGAAAAAACAGGATTCCAAAATTTCTGACTTAACAATTCTAAACAGTTTGATTCCACTGGTAAGCAGCTTAGGGCTGTGGGACGCTCAGTGATTACACTAGGCAGCACTCATATTTGTGTATGCAGGAAGCCATGCCATATAGAGAAAAAGAGAACTCTTAGACCTGGGGGAGAAAGAACATTATAGATCTCATGGGAACTGATTTACTCCTGTTGGACTTAATAAAGATAAAGCACCTTTGCCAATTTTCCAGGGGAAAGGAGTGGTTCTTGTTGTCTCACCACGCCCACCATAGTTGGTTTTTCCTAAAAGAAATCCAGTGGGGACTACAAAAATGTTGTAAAGCACCAAGTACTTTTAGTCACTGCATGACTAACAGGACAGATCAATTCTAAATTAAAGAAACAAAATAGCATTTTGTCACACAAAGAAATACACAGCTTTCATTTCAAACAGTTAAGGAGTCCCAAATGACCACAGTGAATAATCTAACTTGCACAGATACTGAGCAATAAATGTCTCAATCCAAAGAAAAATAATTATCTGTAAATAAGGATCAAAATGTATGGATAATGTGAAACAGGAAGAAAAGGTCCAAAGGGGATAGGGAAGTGGGAGGGGTAGGGAAAAGGAAAGAAGGGAAAGGAATAAATATAAGAAAAGGAAAAAATGGAAACAAAGTCTTTGTAAATAGGGAGGGGTGGATGGGTTGAAGGGCAGGAGAATGGGGAAAAAAATAAGAACCAACACAGGTCATGTAAAGGTACAAATTCCCAATGATGAATGTCATATGGTATACCTAAAATGTTCCAATATAATTAATGAATTTAAAAAAAGAATTGTTTATAGAACCAGAAGGTTGAAAAGCATTTAAGTTCAACATAGCCTTTTTTGGGGAATGGGGGGATATTGCTGATTGAATCCAGGTTCTTTGGTTTTTTCTTTTGAGAAAGAGTCTCAATAAGCCGCACAGGCTGGGCTGAAACTTGCATGACTCCTGTCTCAGCCTCCCAGTATACTAGATCACAGGTGTATGCCAACATGCCCAGCTCAAAAGATCCTTTTATGCAATTCAGGTTATAATTCCAACTTCTGGAGCAGAAAGTGGTTTTAAAGACCCACTGAGACTCACCACTTTTCACAGAAAGAGATAATCAGACCAGCCTGTGATGAGATAATGTCAATAAAATTAAAGCCGCCATCATCCTAACTGGATCATAGCAGCCAAGTATCAAATGAGGCCAACTTAGGAAGTTATTTCAGGTGACTCCCAAGATGGCTTTCTGGAAGAGCTCCTCCACAACAGGACAGTCCTGGAGAACCTGTCCCTGACTGTCCTCAACCCTACCATGTGCACATGTGCATGTGTGATCTTTGTCAAGTCTGGCCGACCATCACTCCTTGGTCACATAAAGCAAGCACGTGTCTGGCTATACCTGATGGCATTCTTTTAGGAAAGGTATAGAGCTGGGGATCTCAACCTGAAAGCCATGCATGGACCTGCAGGTAGATGGCACATGGATGAATTTACATGCAGTCAGTGAAGTCCTGGAGAGCATTTGCAAACTTTTGTCTCTGCACATTTTTCTGAGGAAGTGAGTCTTTGGACAGTCATGATTCAAATTAAGTACGTACTGGTTTAGTTAGATATAAAACAGAAGATATCTACAGAATGTGTTATGTAAACAAGATAGGAAGTAATGTATGTTATTAGAGTTACTATCTTTTCAAAGCAAAAGAAAAAACATGATCTGACAGAAGTTGTACTCTTATAAAGGTCAGGTAGTCCACTTCCTTCATCCTAGTCTAGATAAGGAAAATGAGACTCATGGGAAGTTCCACCCAAGACTAACTACAAATCACAGCGCTACTAAGTAGCAAAGCTGAATCCCAAACCAGGCTTGGTTTCTGCCAGGATGCCAGAACATGAAATTATGTTTATGCTTTACAGAATGAGTTCTGACCAAAATTTCCCATATTGTTTTTAATGCCACTCCACCATGAAAGTAACATTCTAAAATTTAAAATCAAGCTTCAGCACAGGGATATGACACATTTAAATTCCCCTTTCTCCATGGAAAAACATCCCAAGGCCCTAATAGATTCCTGAATGCACAGATAGTAATGAATCCTATATATATTGTTTTCTCTATTACATACATACACACCTATTCAAAAGTTAAATTTATGAATTATGTACAGCAAAACAATGCCTAGGGATAAAATAGCACAATTTAAACAATACATTGTAATAAGTTATGTGAATGGGTACCCCTCAATTGGTTAACAGATGATAACCAATATGGTTACCAAGTAGTAATGGGTAGACAGTGTACAGAACTTGGATAATATGAATGAGAGCATCATGCTACTCAGAATGGCCTGCAATTTTTAAAACTTATGAACTATTTCTACAACTTTTCCATTTACCATTTTTTAGATCTCAGGTAACAAACCATGCAAAGTGTAACTGTGGAAATCACAGCTCTTTCACAAAAGCCTATTTCATAAGCAGATTTATAAGGTAAACTTTAAACAAGATCAGGCATGTTCTGGGCGGTATGGCCGTAGACTATAAGGTAAACTTTAGTGGCTCATGATCCCCTATTCTGCTGCATTATGACTGCAACTGTAGATACTTGTTTTTGGTGGTAGTGGGGCCAGGGATCAAACTGAGGGCCTCAGGCATGCTACAGGCAAGCCCCCTTACCACTGAGCTACACTCCCACTCTGACTACCACTTTAAAAGCAAACCAGGTCACAAGCTTATTGCGTGAAGTACCTCTAAATGTAGCAGAAAAAGGCACTGATGACAGTCTCTTTAAAAAGATGTCTTTCAAGCTGACTTCCGTGGTTCCTACAATCTGAGCCTATAAACTCCTGTTCTAAGAGTCTATCTCTCCAAGGTTAATGTCAACAGTGTTGCCCAAATATTAAATTATTTTTTTAAACCCAGGCAATGGGGTCATTCTAAATTAAACTCAGAACAACCTTTTCTAGTTTCATGGTCACAAACACTACAAGGGGTAAAACCAAAGCTAGTAGGCAGTTATTCTGAGAACAGATTAAAAAATAATTACTGTCATAAAAAACTTACAGAGCCATTTGGTCCAATGCCAAACTTTACCTTGCCGTTATAAAATCTAAAAAATTATTTTAAAAAAACTCGATCGACCTGAGAAAATGAAAGAGACAGTTGAACATAAATTCAATGACAGCATGTCCTTCAATTTCAAAGGAAGTGCTTTAAAGGCATATAATTCTGTGGCACACATAAAATCTTCAAAGATGTACCTTTCCATAAAGTTTCTGATCGCTTGTGAATTCTATCTAGCGCTCTTTGCACGCTCTCTCCCTAGCCTCCCACTCCTCAATCGTGCAACTAGGATAGGCCTTGGGAAGCACCTGTGGCCTGTAAAGGCTCACACCAATTCCCAAAGCCAAGACTCTTGGCAGCAGTCTGCAGGCAGGTTCGACCATTCTATTTTGGGTCAAGGAGAACGTCTGCCAAGTGAAGTCAAGGGGACAAGATCATTTTGGGAGAAAACATTAAAAGAATTTTTATCACCAGGCAGGCCACTAGCCCTTACTGCGAAAACTCCGAAAATGATGACGATGTGGTCACGATCCAGGCGGCAAAGAGAATGCGGCTGGGGTATCGCGGAGTGAGGGGATCCTGAGAGTCTTGTCTGCTTGGGATCCCGTGGCTGGTGGCCAGGCCTTGGCGTCAGGAGCACACAAAGAAGCAGGGATCCCTGGGGCACCCAGAGGAGGGTGGGAGGGAACCAGAGCGAGGTTAGGAGGCTGCAGGTGTCTCAGAGAGAGGACAGGTTGCCTGAGGCCGAGTGACTAATAAGAGTGCGGCTTTGGATGGGGACAGCCTGGTCACATTCTCAAGCGGTGACCTTGAGCACGTGGCTCCACGGCTCTGCGCCTCAGTTTCCTCCTAAAATGGGGTGGGGGGTGTTGGAAAGGAAAACCGCGCCCCCGAGCGCTTGGCACGGCGTCGGGCTGCCAACGAGCGCTCCTCGCGTGTGCGCTCGGGGAAGCGGGGAAGCCCCGCA